GAGAATAGAAGTAGCGAGACTGCAATCAACATCAAATATTGTCAATTTAGTTTAAAATGATATTAATAATAAGCTAACATTCAAGACCGGTACATAAATGCCTTTTGGAGCTTGTATAAGTTGTGGGTCTCATTTTCGTAATCGCGGCCCTTTCAAAACTGCTACATGTTACAGCTGCAATAAAGTAGGGCACATTGCTAAAGTATGAAGAAATAAAAATTCAAATAATCTAAATATTTTCAGATATAACATTATCCTTCGCCTGGAGAAAATCTTTCCAGTGGTCTTCAAGTTCTCTTCGGGTAACTTGAAGAATTTTTTTTTAGTTCAGAATGATGTTCATTAGTTGTAGGCAATTGATTATATGAAGCTCAACACATTTTCCCTTATTTTTTCCTGGCTAATAGCATTCCCCTTATTCGTGGTAAATCGATTTCGAAAGTGATTTAAATGTCTTGTCTTACGTCACGATTCAGTTTCAGCTTTTATAGAATTGGAAGAGATGATTCTTGTAGCATTATATGAAATAATCAAATGGTAAGAAAATTGTATTTTCAGAAGCGTTATCATTATTAAGTTCATGTTAATAATATCATTTAAATTAATAATTAAATTTATTTATATAATATTGAATCGTTAATTAAATTATAATTCGCTTATAACTTATTCAATCATTTATTATTCTATTAAACTATATGGCATTAAACGTTTTTATAAATTTGTTATATTTTATTTTGTTGAATTTTATATTATTTCATTCTAATTTAAACTTCATATTATACTTCATTTTGTTTAACTATTTTATTTTATTTATTCAAAATTTTTATGTATATAAACTTATCAAAATTTTATAAGATCAATTTTTTATATTGATTTTAAATAACAAAATGGAATTATAATTTTTAACTTTTAAATTGAAATAAATAATATATAATATACTATCAAATTAAATTAAAGTTAGGTTGTGAACTTAGAACATAACCCTGCCTCACCATATCATCATAGTGGCAGCGGAACATGCATTATGTAGCTAGTGATTTCGTTTTTCCCGCTCCTAAGTGTCCTGAATGCAATTCTTGTAGCATCCATTTTCTCATGTTCGAAGGAATGAAAACTCTGTTTTCTTTATAAAGACAATCTTTCAATATACATGATTTTTTCCCCATGTTTTTAAACGTTTTATGTTCCCCTGTCCTACTGTCTTTCACAAATTCCATTATCTCTTATTTTCTCTTTGTCATTTACAGTTTATTTTAATATATTTTCAAAATTTCTCTGTATGCTCCATAAATTGTTATCTTCAGTTTCAATTCCCATTAAGTGTCTAGTTTCCTTATCATCTGCTTATAGTAATCGAGTTAAACAGTCCATCCATAACTACTCTCCTTTTCTGTAGTCTCATAGACATACGCGTATTTTCTAGTCCCTTCATAAATATAAATACCAGAGGTTTATGATTTGTTATTATCGTAAATTTTGTACCAATAAAATATTCCTGAAATTTCTTTACAGCAAAAATTATAGCTAAAGCTCCACGCTCCATGTTCATGCAGTTTATTCCTGATTTCAAAAACGCTCTAAAGACAAAGGCTGTTGGCTTTTCTTTTCAATCTCCCTATATGAAATAAAACTGCTCCAAATCATCGTTTCGACACGTCTGCAGCTTTTTCAATAGATAAATTTGGGTTTTAGTAGTTTAATGTGGATGGTTATTAGTGTTTTAATTTGTTAAAACTTTTTTTTGGTCCATTTTTCTTTGTTGACTATTTTGTAAAGTAGATCTACTAAGCCCACAAAAGTTGTTTAAAAATTACCTAAAGTAGCTCGCCACAAATAAAAATAAGAAAAGTTCATCCGTTGTCAGATTCTATCATCCTAAATGTGCTTATTGTAATAGCTGCTGACCCATCGAAAAGAGGATTGGGAGCACTTTTATTTCATATAGAAGGAGATGAGGAAGATAAACCAATAGCCTTGGCCTCTAAAGCGTTATTGAAATCAGAAATAAATTACATGAATGTAGAGCACGGTTTTAAATAATTTTTCAAATAGTATTGATTCTAATGATGAGCATTGAACTTTTTCAGAGTTTATCTTTGTGAATTGTATTAGAATATTGTTTTCTTATATTATAGATACTATGTAGAATTCTACAAAAAAAACTTTTAGATTTGGTTCAAGTGATTGATTTATCTCAAAACATATACGACAAATTAATAACCAAAAAATATAACATTAAGTAAACTTTGACTAGCGCGTAGGTAATCTTTAAGATGCAATATATATGTAGAGCCGATTGAGTATTTATAAGATATCAATCTTCATTTATGGAGACATTTTATCCCAAATAAAAATATGCTTTTTAAATAAAAGGAATATTTTAATCATCTTTAAATTTTATTACCTAAAAACCCTTCCATGTCCACCGTTGTAACCATTCATAAAATTATTTTGGCTAAATTTTATTATCTTGAGATAAATTTAGCGTATTTAATTGTTGTATTACTACATTAGGGAAATTTTGCCTGAGCATGTGATTAATGAGATTAATAAGTAAAAAGAAATTTTTGCAAAATTTCCATTGTTTCGTATTCTTGCATATTTGCCTATTAAAAAGGTATGAATGAGAAAACCTTTTCTTGAATATAGGCCATATTGGTTAGCTCTTTTAAATATCCTTAGAAATATAGATAAATTAAAATGATAAAAAATTGATATATGAAGCCAAAAAATATTGATATGATTAAGTAATCCTGAGTAGTATATAACATATATAATAGGAAACCCTTGATCCATAAGAAAGTTGGGGTCAAGAATATTATGGATATGCCCATGCTATAACCATCACCTATATCTCAATATTCCTTTCTTACTTCAGTTCTTCTTTGCAATATAAGCACTATAAATTTCAATTAAATGGCACTGGCGCGTATTACCCGATTGACCAAACATATAGCACGATATTTGTCTATTATTGCAATATAACTCGATTTTTCTTTAACTTTTTCAATTCCTCTATAATTTTTCTCTCTATAATGTAAGAAGCAATTTTCCTATAATAGTGATGTGAACCCTTTTGCAAAAAATGGTTCGGAGATAAAAAAAAAAAAGAGGGATAGTTCTGGGTTTGGAGAGCGTAAAGAAATATTGGCGCACTTATATATTTTTATATTATTTATAACAAAAATGAAATTTTTCTTATAAAGCTAAAAACTAAGGAAAATGCGATGAAAATGAAAAATAATTCCAATAAAATTTGACATAGTTGTAAAATATTTTGAACACTCAGTAGAAATAATTATTAAAGAAGTTGAGGAGAGATGGAAAATAAGGTGCGTGGTAACCATTTAAAGTTTAAAATTTATTGTAAGAATAAAAGAATAATAAAATATTTTAACATTGGATCACATTAGTTTTGGAAAGGTGAAAATATGATTATTTATTTTAAATATATTATAAAACTTAATTTAAAATAAATATTAAAAAAATTTAAAAAAATATTTTAAAAAGGGGGGAGGGGAAGAGGAAAAGAAAAAAAGAGCAAGTTATTGGATTATTTCTTTCCTATAATATTGTTAAATAGGCTCAATCCTAACAGTCGAAAAATTGCGCTTGTTGAGGTAAGAGTAAGCTTTTTTCAAGATTGAGCTATAAGTTTAAACCTCCGAGACTAAGATGATAATTTTCGCTTAAAAATCTGGTTTAGCTTTAGACGTATCAAAACCTGCAAAAAATGAAGTAACTTATCACCTATACTTGTCGAAGGTTGACCTGACTATATTTTAAATAAAGCAGAAGAGGCGGAGGCTTATAAAAACTTCTATAAACTTATGAAAATTAAAATATTGGAAAATAAAACTGTTTGCTTCTCTATCTTCTATGTGGCTATAAAAATATGAAAAAGATTTTTGTATAACAATAATAAAGAGAAAAGGGATTCAAATTTAACACTTTTGAAAAAATATTAAAAATTTTTGGCGGGAGGCTCAGGCCCTCTTCAAAATTTGAAAAGGGGACTAAAAATAAAAAAAATAATGGAAGTGTTTTAGTTTCCCCGTAGCACCCCTCTCGTAATACACCAATGATAAAAACATTCTAAGGTTCAAACTTTTGAATTTTCGGCATCGCTAATATCAAGAGACAAAATATCAAGTATCTTGATAAAGGTAACCGAATCTTTATAGACAATTTACAAAGATTAACAGACCAGAAAATTAAATCTAAATCAAATAAAAAAATGTTCAATAGAAGAATAGATAGATTTTTTAAACCTCAAAACATTAATCCAACTTGTCCAAATGATTTAACAATTTATTCTGTTATTGAAAAATTGAACCAATTTCAATAGTTGAGAATTCTTTCTTAATTAATATTAAAACAATATTACCAAAAAATGTAACGAGCAGACAAAAATTGGTTGGTAGATAGGAAGAAGAAATAAATAATTTTAAAAAATTAGAACAAAAGATTTAACAATAGATTACCATTGTCATTATTATGTACATCTTTCATGTGTTTTATTATAAAAAAAAGTATAATAATGAAAAAAATTATATCTATTAGAGGTCTACAAAGACCAAGACCCAGGTCTGATAACATCTTGAAAAAATTTATTTGGGCTTGGCCGGACAAGAAAATTTATTGGGGTGGTTTATCAGTGAAGTCTGATATTTGATAGAAATGATCATGCATAAAATGTAGTGTTTTCAATTTAATCACTCTCCAATATTAAAAATTATATATATTTTGGGTTAGATCTTGTATTTAAAAATTGGAAACGAAAAGGGTCGGGTAAAAATTCCTGGCCGAGCCATGAAAAAGCTAAATTCTAACCTTAAATTTTGCCATTTAAAGACCTCTAATCTAGATACACACTTAAGAATGTATCAGTATCGAGCGAGGTAGCTTTTTAGGCCATGTATTGTATATGTATCAATATTAAGATAGTTTAAAAAAATATCGTTAAACAACTTAGTCAAGTGATTTTAAAAAAGTTTAACCTTTTTCAAGACTGAGAAAATCGATGGCCCTATAGCCCGCATTTTTTAGGTCGTAACGTTGGCCCGCGTCTATTAGTAGATCGTATACCGCAACACTGGACTTGTTATTTCATTATGATTTGATGGAATTGTTAAAAAATAATAGTTTGTAAATATTATTATATTGTATTTTGTTTTGTCAAGCTTTCTTGTTGTTCTCAGTTCTTATTCTTAGTGTTGTTAATTGGGTGGTTGTGTAGAGCCCAGACCCTGGGTTCAGACCCCACAAAAACCCATTATTTTAAAAATATAATAAAGAATTTTATTTAAAGAATATTATTATTTTATAAAAAGTAAATCTATATTATATATATCAATTTTGTGTAAATTTGTGAAATCATTATTTAGGCTCTGCATACATAGGAGAACACAAATCATGTCAAAATTTTGTTCTACCATTAGGGGAAATGTGCCATAAATGGCCATGTTTGTTAATAATACTAATTAAATTAGTGTATAATTAATTTTTATATACCTAAAAATTGAAGAAATATATAAGATTGGTCTTTTGCAAGTATTTCATATTTATAATATAATTCTTAAATAATATGTTATATAGCCAGTAAATACATTTCAGCGAAACTTTTCGCGAAACACTTTTTCGTGAAGCTTTTATCGCGAATGTCGTTTATTGCGAATGGATTTTATGGCGAAACTTTTATCGCGAATCCATAATAGCAAATACTATTCCGCGAATACAATATAGCGAAACAAATATCGCGAATTTTTTATAGCGAAACCTTTATAGCGAATACATTACCGCGAATACAATATCGCGAAACAACTATCGCGAAGATATTATAGCGATAATTGCTAATAATGACTAATTTATTTCGAAACATTTTTTTATAATTATATTAATTGAATAATATTTTTAAAAAAAATTGGATTGTGACGATTTTGCACTCGATTTTGAATTATCTCATATGATATTTATGCCTATTAGAACTCTTATGATGAAAGATAGGCCTGCCCCCTTATCCAAAAAAAAGTGTAAGATATGTATGTAAGAGTAAATAAATAAACACTTAACTCATTTTGCCCCCGTTTCACATGTATTTTAATTTTTTACGTTTTTTAATTTTTTTATATTGTTTAGTATAATAATTTTTTGGAAAAAAACAGATGGAAGGGGGAATGAAAATATAGTTTTTATTTTTTATTAAGGATAAATATTTATAAATAAAAAAAATGGATGTAAAATAAAGTTATTTATAGTAAAAATATTATAAATATATTATTATTTTTTGAATTCATCTGGGAAAATAATTTTTTATAGCTTAACATTTTATTTTTTAGTGATTTTTAAAAAATATCAAAAAGTAAATCTATTTTTAACTAAAAAATAAAGAATATTTTTATTTTATAAAATTGATTTAAAATTTTTATATTTAATATGTTTTCTGAGGATCATTTTCATTGGTCAGATAATGATGACCAATCTATGCCATCTTCTCCAATTAATGAATCCTCATTTTTGTCTCAATCATATATAGGAGTAGGACAAGAATTGGTAGATTCTTTTTCTGAAGAAGCCTCATCGAAGTATTCATTTTTTATCTTGATGGATAGGGTATGACTTGGTTTTGGAGGTGGATGGAAGGGGGGGGGAGGGGGTGAGAAATAATATTTTTTGATATGGAAATAAAAATATTTTTTTGTAATAATAATGATAATGATCACTCATACAGGGAGGGCATAGGTCTTGGGGGGGGGGGGGGGGGGGGGTGAGAGGAGGGGGTGAATAAATAATATAAAATATTTTTTTGTAATAATAATGATAATGATCACTCATACAGGGAGGGCATAGGTCTTGGGGGGGGGGGGGGGGGGGGGTGAAAAATAATATTTTTTGATATGGAAATAAAAATATTTTTTATAATAATGATAATGATCACTCATACAGGGCGGTATAGGTCTTGGGTGGGGGGGGGGGGTCAGGTATATTTTTATTAACACAAAATATCGATATGGGTGTTGTTTAATTGGCTGATTGTGTAAATCCCAAACCCGAGGTGGGTCTAATAAAATCACTGCGATCTACATTAGCAATATTAATATAAGAAATAAGCCAGCATTAACTCGAACCCCATAAATAATGTTGTTTCAAATATTTTAATTAAAAATTATTTATCAATAATATCGAACTTAAATAGGAAAATCCTGCAAGCAACTCAGCTTATGACTAAAAAATTTTTAATCGGGGCCACTTACTTAGGGCTTGGAAATAATTAAAATAAATTATTATGTAGGTTTGCTTATAGATTATTTCTATACCATCCTGATCTTAGTTCAGAATTGTTTATGAAAAACATAGGTTAATGATGCTTGGTACCTTAAGGTACCATCTATCAAATTTGAATTTTGTTCATTTTTCATTTGGATAGGCACTACCAAATATATTCAAATATATTTATAATATATATTTGAAAAATCGTGATTTCTTAAAAGCCTCTATGGCCTAGTAGGCAAGAGCTTGGTTTACTTGTCCCATGGTCCCGGGTTCGAATCCCGGAAATGATCATGTTTTTTTTCTTATTCTAACTTGGTGGTTCCATCCTTGGGGGGATAATATATAGGAGGCCGGACTCGACCACGTGATTCCGTATTAATATATTAAATAATAAGGGTCTTATTACATTTTAATAAATTTTGGTCGGTATTTAGCAAATTAGATTGGTATTTAAAATATTTCCATACATTCACTTGGTAGTAAGCATCATTAACCAAAAACATACGGGGTATCTATTATCCTTTCACGTTAAGTGTCATAGCGCTTTTTTATTTTTAGATTTTTGAATTTTTTTTATATATAGGTGTTAATTCTAAGTAAATAAATAAAAATAAATCGTTAAATATGTTAAATTAATTAGGGTTCATCTATATCACCTGGAACTGGAAGTACTTGTTGTCACTTAAATCTGTCATATAATTAAAAAAATAAGTCAATCATAATCATCTTCATATTGTCATTGGTGGTAGTCCTAGACAAACTAGTGACTTCTAATTTGCCCATCAGATCCGATATAAAATGGCATCTTTAACAAAAATAAAATGTTAAAAATTTTTAAAAAAAAGTTATATCTAAAATCATTTATTTTTATAAATAAAATCGAAATCCATATTTTTTTAATATTAATAATTAATTAATAAACATTCTGTAATATTGTTATTTTTTTGCGCATTGTGTTTATAAAAGTGTGCGATAATTTCTTAGAATCTGTTTATAGTGAATTTGGTGATATTAACTTGACAGTTAACATCGCCGTAAACGTAAACTGATTCCTGATAAATAAGTAAATTTTGGTATTTCTAATAAGAAATCTTCGATTTATTAATGTTAAATATTGTTTAAAATATTTTTTCAAATTTCATAATATATTTGTTTATTATTTATTATATATAGATTAATGTTACTCATTACTTATATAAAAGTTATTTAACAATAAAAATATTTTATATACCTTAGAATTGCAATAGAATTGAATATAAACTATAACTGATCATTATAATATATTTAAATAAATGACATAAAAATTAGATATGATATCGGTAATCGGTCGATATCTATTTAATATCGGATCGGATAGGCCTCCAAAAAGTGATATCGGTACACACCTACTTAAAACCCAAATTTATTAGTTATACCTTTAAAACCCGTGGTGATCCTGGATAGTTGGCATCCCTTTAAAAATTATGACATATATAATATTGGGAATATAACTTTAATATAATAAAGAAAAACTTTTTATTGGCCATTATTTCATCACAAATTATAAATTTACATTTCTGACGTTGAATTTTTATATTGGTCCACTTACAATATCAATATGTGTTAAAATAAAATTTTATTTTTTTTCCATCATGCATGGGTTACTCTTTTTGAATATTTACTTATATTTTTATTTTTACCATAAAAATTTTTGATCAAAAGAAAGTCCCCAAAAATGGTAAGAAAATGAGAATTAAAAAAAAGCTTTACTAATTTAGAATGAATACGATAAGAATAAGATTTAATTTAAGTAGAAAATGAAGTTTTTTTTTACTTTTCATATATCCGAGCCCCAGGTGTAATTCATAGGTGGGTCTGAACCCCGGGTCTATGCTCGGGGTTCGTGCTCAGAGCTGGTTTGGTCGATTATTTAGACCCAAACCCCGGGTCTGGGTTTTACACAACCAACCAATTAACAACACTAGCTAGTTCTGAGCACGGTTTAGACCGAAAAATATTTATTAAAAACTTCCTGTACTAATTTATGAATTATATTTTATATATTTAGCGAATTCGAAAAAACATCTCAAATCGGTGCATCCTAACATATTTAAAGAGATGTCACACTCACAGGGTTCCATTTATGACTCGATGCCGGGGATGAGAAAGCTTTTATCGCATGAAAATTTGATGATAAATAAACTCATCTTAATTTTCTTAATAAAAATTAATAGTTCCTTTAACATAATAGATAACCCAGCTTTTAAAAGGATATTCTATTATACAAATAAGAATATCAAACTATGGTGTCGTCAAACCCTTTCCAAAAACTTAGGAAAAATATATGATATGGCAAAATTACAACTTATAAATAAATTAAAAAACTTCAAACATAAATATGCCTTAACTACTGATATCTGGACTTCGCAAAATGGTTCATCTTTCTGCTCGCTAACACTTCACTACATAAACGATGACTGGAATATGATAAATATAGCCCTAGATTTATTATCATTCCCCCACCCACATACGGGGGATGACATATACAACACTCATGATATCTTCTTTCCACGATTTTGAATTTAGTGATAATATAATATCTATTACGCATGATAATGGCTCCAACGTGGTAAAAGCCGCAGAATTAATAAAAAACATTACTATTTAAAATATAATACTGTGATATACAGTCATCGTTGTATGGCCCATGTCATAAACCTAATCGTTAATGAGGGCCTCATATTTTTGGACGATAAATTGAAAAATATAATGGCTATCGTTTCCAAGTTACATGTGTCGCCTAAGTTATTGCAAACATATCAATCCTTTAATGGCGCTACAAAAATACC